CCGAGCCAGGACACGAGGCTGACCGGGTAACATTTCTTGAAACCCTCCTCGGCGGTCTGTGCCCGACTCGCCTTCATCCTCACGTTTAATTTCGCGACTTATTGCACGCATCCAGGGCTTACTCAAGCGAGGCCTACTATAGTGGGGTCTATCCGAGCTGAGCTTCATTTGGGAAATCCGATTCCTCTCCGTGTACAGTCTTCTTTCATTTCACTCGCGTCTCATCTCCCTCCTAACCCGTAGCCGCGTCGGTGGACTTTCCACGCACAGGGGCGTGACGTGCATCATCTATCTCCCCGGTTCCGCAATCCCTATTCATCAGATGATTACGCCAATTGGACAGGTGCGACTTTGTATATGCGTGGTGCTTGTGTACGGGACATTGGTGAATTGCTTAGGAGGTAGTACCAGGAATCCACTGGCACGGGTTATGTCAAGGACACTTGGGATATGGTAAGGTAGGAAATGGGCTAGCCGCCTCAGCAGCACATGGAATTCAACCAGTGGAACCCACCAGTATACAATGCGTTCGGTTAGGTCCAATGTGCGTGCACAGTCCTTGTATTCGAACCGTTGGATAACTTGATGAGGAATTAGTACCAGGAATCCACTGGCACGGGCTATGTCATGGAGCTTTGGAATATGGTGACGTAGGAAATAGGTTAGCCGCCTCAGCAGCACTTGGAAATCAACCAGTGGAACCCACCAGTATAAAACGAATTCGGTTAGGTCCAGTATGCTTGCAGAATCTTTGTATTCGAGCTGTTGAATGATTTGACGAGGAATTAGTACCAGGAATCCACTGGTACGGGCTATGTCAAGGAATTTTGGAATATGGTGACGTAGGAAATAGGTTAGCCGCCTCAGCAGCACTTGGAAGCAACCAGTGGAACCCACCAGTGTGAAATGCGTTCGGTTAGGTCCAGTATGCTTGCAGAATCTTTGTATTCGAGCTGTTGAATGATTTGACGAGGAATTAGTACCAGGAATCCACTGGTACGGGCTATGTCAAGGAATTTCGGAATATGGTGACGTGGGAAATAGGTTAGCCGCCTCAGCAGCACTTGGAAGCAACCAGTGGAACCCACCAGTGTGAAATGCGTTCGGTTAGGTCCATTGTGCGTGTAGAATCCTTGTAATTAGCCGTTTGATAATTTGATAAGGAAATAGTACCAGGAATCCACTGGTACGAGCCATGTCAAGGAACTTGGAATGTGGTATAGCAGGAAATAGGTCAGCCGCCTTAGCAGCCCTCGGAAATCAACCAGTGGAACCCACCAGTATGAGACAAGTTGGGTTAGGTCCAGTGTGCGTGTAGAATCCTGGTAATTGTGTACTGTGTAAAATAAGCAGATAAAGAAAACTGATCGTTGTAAATTACTGTGACGAGCCAGACACCTTGAAAACGACCGCTTTCCCGACTGTGTGGCTGGCATATGGCCTGTTATGTTCTATCCTCCGGTCCCTGCCCTTCATCACTTGTCACACTCGTATTACGATATTTACAAGTCCCATTTATTTACATTCTCCCTGACACAACGTTTTTCATTCCTTTACATGCCAAATTTTACGAAGCGTTCTGGGACCAGGCCGTCCAGCAATTGGAACTCACACGCCGCGCGGTGCGGTACAAAGTCGCGTCGGCCGCCCGTCCCTTTCCCGACTCCCCACGGTGCATAATCCCCTCCGTCCGCCTTAATCACCACGGGCGCCGGACGAGGGTCCACTCCACGTCGGCACGCGTCCCGCACCACGCCCATAGTTAAATAATTGACCGAAATCGGACCGTTAAATTAAGCTACCTAGACTGAATGTCCCCAAAATAAAATGAACTACCTAAACTGAATGGCCTAAAATATTGCGGACGACACCAAAAAGGGAATATAATGTGGCTCACATAGCAGTAACGAGGGGGGGGGGGTTACTTGAAGGATTTAGGGACTAGGTGCGCACCCGTGTTCACCGCGTGACCTTACTTGAGATGGGGTCGCTGACGTGATGGTCGTGTCCGTCCAGCGCCCGGCCCGGCGGCCAGAGCCGCCGCCGCGCCGGCGCCGTGATGCCAGCCGCTGGTGTCTCGTGGGCTGTCCGCGATGTCAGACGAGAGACGTGGGCCGAGAGAGTGCCACCGGCGCGCGATGCGTCGTCCGAGAGAGCTTTTCAGTTCCGTTTCATCAACTTATACTTCTGATGACGTCACACTTCAGAGGGCCGGGCAGCATCACCTTGTCCAATCTCCGTCCTCCATTCTCAGAAGCTGCACTCGGCTCCGCCCTCGAAAGTTCGTGATTTGCTGACAAAGTTCGGTTCCCCTCCGGCCATGGCAGTCGCACCCTTTCACGCAGCGATCGGGTGGAATTCGCCGCCGGCGCTCACGGCGCCTGAGGCGCCAGGTGGCGGGCCTGGCCCTCTGCTCCCCTTGTTTTGAAGTCAGGTCCGGCCAGATGTCCTATATTTTGTCGTTGGCGACCGAGTTCCATTTCATCCTGTTTTCGTACAACCGGGTCGGTCTCCGCTCTCCTTTCTTGTTTTGGTTCAAATCAGGGCCGGTCTGCACTCCCCTCTCCGTTCTCTGGCGGGGTGCCGAGCGTGGGACAGAGTCTTGTTTTCCAAAGGCTAAACTGATTAATGGCTCGAGGCTGGCAGAATGGCGCGTTTCGGTATGCTATTTGTTGGCTTCAGATCCGGGTTCTCATGAAGTGGGGTGGTCATCTATAGAGGACCCCTGTTTGTCAGAGCCGACTGCGCCGTCTGTGTGGACGCCAGCTGGGACGGAGAGAGGGTATCACAGCCGATTTAGCCGGCTGACCGTGTCTGTGCGGCGCTCGCAGATGGCCGTGTTTCAGCTTGTGGCACAGCTTGCAGTTCAGCATGAAAGATGAAAAAATGTAACGCATCTGCGTTACAGATGCAATAACTGACACACTTGTTCCCTAACTGGCGCACTGACGCCATAACCGACGCACTTACTCCATAACTGGCGCACTGACTCCATAATCGACGCACTGGCACAATAACTGACGTATTGTGCCCTAACTGGCGCACCGACTCCATAACTGGCGCACTGGCGGCGGCTCGCGCGGCTCGTCCGTGGGGACAGCAGTTGGCATATACCCTGGCAGCGGCCGGCGGGGCGCCTGCCAGGGCGGTGACCACAGCGCGGGTTTGTCTCCTCTGTCACTGAGGGGCATGACGGGCGGCGGGGGTCACGGTGTCTCGGGTACGGAGGAGTGGACTTTGGTGACCGAGTGTTCCTGTGGACTGGTCACAGTTATGCCAGGGTGGTCACTAGAGGGCTGGGATATGGTAGGATAAGGTGGAGTGAGGTCAAGGTGTAATGATGTGTGATTATATGCCATGCAGCGAAACTGGTTGGGCACTAGGTGATTTTGTAACGGGATGACATATAGCAACCATTGCGACCCGGGCTGATCACAGTGGTAAGTTGTATTTTATCTATTTACGTAGGCTTCGCCATTAGACATAAGACTCTGCATGATTTTGTAACGATTACGACATTCAGATACAGCCCCGTTTGGACTACCCAAACTTCCTTCACTTCACCATCGCGCCGTATTTTCGTCAATATCATCCGTCGGCGGCGCCGTCTGGGCCCGGTTGTATATCATACCCAGTCTACCCACGTGCAGGGGAGGGGGAGGGTGAGGGCTCAGTCGATAAACCACGGATGGACCGCGGAGTGGGGCCATAAACCCCCCAGGGTAGGGCCGGGGGGGGGGGGGAGGTAGTCAATACCGAGACCGTGAGCCCTGACGTTTGATGGATACGCTGATATGGCTGAATAAGTGAGTAAGTTAGGCTGGCTGGCTGGCTGGCAGGCAGGCAGGCAGGCAGGCAGGCATGGGCAGGCAGGCAAGCGCCTGCCTTAGTGATTGCATTATAGTTAGTCGTATGAAGTGGGATTGGTGTGACGTTATGTCATAAGCAAATGTGGCATTTGGCTGAGCTTATGATGAAACTCGTGCACAATGAAACGGATGGAGAGCATGAAAATGAGCGTTCAGCTTTGCTCTTAGATATTCCGCAAAAATGACGAAATGAGGAGTTTCAAGTACGCATCAACCCTACTTTTATAAGATCACAGGAAGCCGTAAAACGTTTAGAGGTTTAACACAAGAATGAATTAATGGCGAAAAGAAAAAAGCAAACATTCATCTACGAAATATTACGTAAGAATATGCGGTAATTGCAGAAACTTCCTTTCCTCACCTACGTAATTGTTGCATCGCTTCTCTATATCTACCAGTAACACTTCCTCCATAATAACCTGTCATATACGGTAAACATGAGCTCTGATGTGTTTCAATGCCCACCCGGCCAGTTTTAAATACTAACCTGTCCTTCAGGTAATCCCGGCAACACGCCACAACTGCGCCTTTCTGTACATCACAATCGTCAAGGAAGAGCCAGCCAAAGCGGTTCTCTCTGAATTTTAGAGGAGGTTCGTGCAAAAGCCAGGTCATGCGCAGTTTCGAGATGCGATGGTTGTCCAAATGAGGCAGTTGTTACTGAGAAATGCTGCAATGTTGGACGAGTATGGGAGGAGTGCCAAGAACTTTCGGGAGCCGTGGAGGGGTGGTTTATATGTTGAGCAAGCTGCGTTGCGAAATGGGAGAAGAGGTGTATGCCAAAACTACGTCAGAGTAAAATGGCTCTAACGAATTACCAGTGAAATTGATTCGCAATGAGGTGTTTCGTGGAATATCCAGGGCTCATTGACTGCTATCAGGTGCTTCTAGGGTATTCAGATAATTCCCAAGAAGTGGATAAAGCCATTCAAATTTGAATAGCTAAATCAGGGTGAATTTGTCTTCTTATAAGGTGACAGCAGTCTATCACTTTGGCAAAGCTCTACGATGTGTCCCATCCGTTCGTCTGTTTGGAGCTTGACCACAGTGTACCAAAGAAAAAATTCATAGATCTTACGAGATTCGCCATTGAAAAAGACATCAAATCCACCATGGCAAAGAGGTACTTACACGTGGTTTGTCCGGCTATCAGCGCCAGAGGAGTACCGAGCACCTCCGTTCCATTCACTTCCGGCTGCGTCCCGTTCACTTCCGGTTCCGTTCCGTTCACTTCCGGTGACAACAGTGAAACGGTGGCACTTCCGGCGGAAGCGCGGACCGGAACCGTACCGTTGTGGTAGATTGTCTTGCAGGTTCTCCAGAGACCCGAGTAAGAATAGGTGAGATATCCCGGGTCTAAGCCGGGTATTCCCGTTCGATTGATGAAGGCACCATTGGGACAGTCAACGGTGAACCTGCGGAGAAAATGGAATTATGTCAGCTGTCTGAATTAATCTCAGCTGTCGGCTATTCTGTTGGCACACTTTTCCAATAAATACAGTACATTTTGTGCAATGCTCATATCAAGCACATAGAACAATCGCAGTAGGAACGAAAATATAGTAATCAATGAGCCTCCCTGCAGCTCTTCACCGAAATGGGCATTTAAAAAGATTGGCTGTAAGTGCGTCTGACAAAATAATTCGTAGACCAAAGAAAAAGAATGAGAACATTTCAGTCATAACAACAGCAAAACACCGAATAATTTATCACAAAAAGATCACAAATAGCCTTAAATGAATACTTAAATGCGAAAGGTTCCACGAACTGAACATTTTTCATCACAGGAAAACTCTGCTAATAGCTTGGGTTTTACCGGCACAAGCAAGCAGGCGTTTGGAGTTATTTATGAGTTTATTTATTCTTCTGTCGGCCCGGACCGCGGCTCAGTTGTTTGTGGACATGAGTTGTTGAGACAGCCCGTTGGCGGTGTGGAGCGTCCGACACCGGCCATGCGGGGGGTGGGGCTGTGAGGGCTCATCACAGGGCCGTGTTTTAGGGAAGGAGTCGGTTTGTAACTGTCAGTCATGCTTCAAAGCTAGCAGAGGAGTACAGGCGTACAGATCGCTGGAGGATGGGCTATTGTTGGACACGTGTAGCCAAAGGAAGTTTTCATTGTTAGTGGGAGTTCCTAACAGTGAAGTGCAGTGTAGCATGAACTCGTACAATGTAGTATAGACAGTGGGCTCCAGGCGGTATTGTCCCGACAGTGCGGTCCTGTCGCCCTGAGTGCCCACCGCCGTGCTGCAAAGGTCTCCACTCCCCAGGGGTGCCGGCAGGAATGAAGGCCGCGTGCCAAGACCGCAAACGCAGCCGCAGTCCCATCAGCGACCGCCGCCGCTGCCGCCGCTGCAGCTTTGACGACTGCTGCAGAGTGTATACTGTAGAAGGCACAGTGCAGAGCAAATGCAAGAGAGGATTATAGTTCAGAGGTACAGAATATAGGGCAGAGTGGTGGGGAAGCACAAAGTGCAGAGCATGAAGAGACAGCGGAAGCAACCAATTTTCATGCAGAACACCACACCCACCCCAAACGCTTTTACACCTGAACAGCTTACAATCTATTTGTTTCCAACTCTACTCAACCTTCTCACTCACTTCCAGTTCAGATGTCCACATCCGCCACCCACCATCAACCTATTCCCTCTCAGTCCCAGGGATGTCCCATTGCATACTGGCATCCGTCCAAGATAGGTGTGTGTGTGTGGGCCAGGGTAGCGCGAGAGAGGGGAAGACCGCCGAGCTCTCTCTCTCTCTCTCACCCTCTCTCTCTCTCACCCTCTCTCTCTCTCTCTCTCTCTCTCTCTCTCTCTCTCTCTCTCTCTCTCTCTCTCTCTCTCTCTCTCTCTCTTCTGGCAGCTGGCATTGTGGTTGTGATTCAGATGGAGCTACCACGCTACCCAAGACAATCTCACTGTTGGACGAGAAGAGTGTGTGGTGATGAATTATTTTTTAGATGAGGCCGCATATGAAATGACCTTGGTGAAGGACACAAATGGTTGATGAATATTCTCACAGTTCCGAGATTGAAATGAAGATGTCAGAACGTCGGACTTGTTTGGCAGTTTGGTGAAATTCTGTCGCCTTACTGATAAAATGACCTAAACTTTTTAGACAAGTTGAGCTGTGAATCTTGAGCTGTGAATTTGACGCTAAAATTGCATAATTATGTTCTAATAAAAAGGGCTTCTTACAGTGAAGTGAGTGAAGAAACTTTTGGCACGCCTAATTTTGAGTTTCTGCTGAGTTATGGGCACTTCCTATTCAATGCTTAAAAATTAACTACAAAATAACAGTTTACGTCTCTGGCGAAGAATTCATTGCTCAGACAGATCCCATTAGGTTGGGATGACAGTTCTATTCGATACCGCAAAACCTGAGTCCGCTCCAAAGTGCCCGTCCCCTCAAATCTCCGATAGCCGCCGCTGCCAGCTGGCTGTCGCTTATTAAAAGGTTCAGCTCAGCTCCAATCACGCGTGTCGACAGGCGTGACGTCATTATCACGTCACGTATTGGTGCCAAGGAGGTGCTTTCGAGTTTTATGCGAACAGCTGGTGCTTTTAATCAAAGAGGCGAACGGTTGATCGACGGACTGGTGTCGAGTGCGTGTGTGTGGAGTGATGGCGATTGGTGTCAGTGGTGATAGTGCATTGGTGCCAGCTGCAGGGAATTGTGATGTAGTGTGATGTTGGATAGGATGGTTTTAGTGCACTATTTTAGGTATGCAGGGAACTGTTATATCTAAAGTATATGCCAAAATATCACTCGATATAGGTATGATTAATAAACATGAGGTTTACATTCATGTGCAAAAAAAACGGAAGTGATCATTAGTATACGCAGTAAAACAGACAAATTACTGGACGGTAGACATTCTTAATTGATTGACCCAGGCCCAAATACTGGTTACTGTTGGTAGTGGGTACTAACCAGTACTCTGTACATAGAGATGGGTAGAGATATCGGTGACCCAGAACATCCGGTACTGAGTACTGGGTACTCACCAGTACTCTGTAGAGATAAAGATGACCCAGAGCAGCAGGTACTGTGTACTGGGTACTCACCAGTACTCTGTAGAGATTGATATGACTAAGAGCAGCAGGTACTGTGTACTGTGTACTCACCAGTAGTCTGTAGAGATGGAGATGACCCAGAACAGCAGGTACTGGGTACTGGGCACTCACCAGTACTCTGTAGAGATGGAGATGACCCAGAGCAGCAGGTACTGGGTACTGGGTACTCACCAGTACTCTGTAGAGATGGAGATGACCCAGAGTAGCAGGTACTGGGTACTGGGTACTCACCAGTACTCTGTAGAGATGGAGATGACCCAGAGCAGCAGGTACTGGGTACTGTGTACTCACCAGTACTCTGTAGAAATGGAGATGACCCAGAGCAGCAGGTACTGGGTACTGGGTACTCACCAGTACTCTGTAGAGATTGATCTGACCTAGAGCAGCAGGTACTGTGTACTGGATACTCACCAGTACTCTGTGGAGATAGAGATGACCCAGAGCAGCAGGTACTGTGTACTGGGTACTCACCAGTACTCTGTAGAGATGGAGATGACCCAGAGAAGCAGGTGCTGGGTAGTGTGTACTGGGTACTCACCAGTACTCGGTAGAGATGGAGATGACCAGAGCAGCAGGTACTGTGTACTGGGTACTCACCAGTACTCTGTAGAGATGGAGATGACCCAGAGCAGCAGGTACTGGGTACTGTGTACTCACCAGTACTCTGTTTGAAATGGAGATGACCCAGAGCAGCAGGTACTGGGTACTGGGTACTCACCAGTACTCGGTAGAGATGGAGATGACCCAGAGCAGCAGGTACTGGGTACTGGGTACTCACCAGTACTCGGTAGAGATGGAGATGACCCAGAGCAGCAGGTACTGGGTACTGGGTACTCACCAGTACTCTGTAGAGATGGAGATGACCCAGAGCAGCAGGTACTGGGTACTGGGTACTCACCAGTACTCTGTAGAGATGGAGATGACCCAGAGTAGCAGGCCCACCACTACAGAGATGGTGCAGTACATGAGCAGCCTCCGCTCGAAGACGGCCACCTTGGCCGCCTGTTTGCTGTCCAAACGCGCTCCTCCGTGGCGCATGCTCATCTTGGCCGATTTTGATTGGAGGCGCCGCGTATCCAATCAACTCCTGTCAACAACGAACACCTGATTAGAATGCGTGGCTAAAGCGCAGTGGGATGAAGGCTTGTTGGAGGCTTATTTAACAGCTGGGCCTTGTGGGACACTCAAGTGAAAAAGGAGTCGGTTGTTTTTCTGCTTGCATATAGGTATACGAAAAAAGTTTATCTTCGAAGTTGTTTGATATATTGCATGAATGTAACATTTCATCAGGCTTGACACTGAAATTTGGAAGCAATTGAATTTTCACCGGCAACTTTGGACTGCATTCACTAATGCACTTAAATCTAGAGCCAAGTGTTTCACTGTTCGACAGCGGTCATTTCATTGCGTCTGACCAGCCCAGCGTCTCCGGGTGACACACAATAGACGGCCCAGGGCCCAGGCAGTGAGTGATGGCGCCCTGCGGAGTATTCGTCTCAGACGCGCCACAGCTCACACGGGGCGCCGTAAGATGGATGGCCAGTTGGCACCGCTGTCTGATTTGAGAGCGTCACTGTCCGATTTGGGCGAGCAACAAAGGGGGCCGCTTTGACAGCTGACTAGATGCAATGATTGATGGGCAAAATAACAATCATGGTTGGCCGGTGGATGCCGGTAGAAAGGAGAGGCCACTGCTTTAGTTGCGGCTCTTTCATTTGGAAAGAGAAAATGATTTTCATCATAACGCAAGATATTCATGAAATTGCTATGGTTGTCTAAAACAGACTTATTTAATGAATATGTCCTATCATACATTTTTAAACCATGCTTCACCAATGTTCACTGACAGTGTAACTTGAAACGATTTTTATACCTAGTTTAGGGATATTTTTGGGCATGACCCATCAGCGTTCGATACTCCTTTCTGGGCCCCTCAAATGAGATTCAGCCCTGACGGTCACGCGATTACGGGCAAATGTCAGTAGATATCCACCTATTGACCCACCCTCGAGCACTCATTGACGCTGATAAGGAGCCTATCACTGAGCACACATGACACTGGCGGGCGGCAGAATATTAAACGGTCTATTGCGGCACGGTCAAGTGAGTGTGCTATGCGGAACGGCACATCCACATATGCTAGGTAAGGTTAGGTTAGGTTTGGGCTGGGTTAGGTTAGATTAGGCTAGGAGTTAGTTGTATGTAGTTGAAGGTGTGATGAGGTTGGTTTGGCGCTGTCGTGGGCGAGTTATTAATGGGATAGCCGTGACTCCCCGGTGGATTTAATAATTAAGTGATAATGAGTTTATGAAAGGAGCTGGTTAAATCTAACGGTTTGTGAAGGTGATCGTTCTATTCACAATTTTATGGACACATCTCTGGTGTAAGAAACAGAAAATTAAGTTCACTTTGAGTACACAATGACAATCGCTGGGAGCTTAAAAGTCAATGGCCAGTCGAGGTGCCTAGCCCAAGTTGCAGAAGGCATGCTTCCCCAGCATACCTCGACGAATACTTCGATCGTTTATTATTTCATATAACCTCTGATGGCTTTATTTCAGAGCACAAAATCACCCCATCCCAAACCCGATCCCAATTTTAGCCATCGTCATTCATCACATTCATCCCGTCCAAAACACGACGGCTGAATTAGTGTCCAATATGCTGAGGGGGGTCGTTTTTTGGCCGATTCTGTTTGCTTACACAGCTGGCTGTCAGTTTTGATGACGTAGTAAGTAAACAGGGTACTGCGGGGACGATAGAGGCCGACGGCCTCAACAACCCCTCTCCCCAAAGGCATAGGGATTGCTTCATCTTCCACTCCTGTCTCTATCCAGTCTCCCTATTCCATTTTCCGTCCCAATCGGGTACTGGAAAGTCCCGGGAGGGAGACGTTATACGCTCAGAGACGTGGTTCGCGACACGCGCACTGCACGTGCACAGCCAACCGAGACGTCCTGCTAAAAATTCGTCTTTTTATAGCCTTGTTCGAAGACTGAAGAACGAAGTCGCGATTCTCTCAGTCGTAAAGAAGTGATAACTCGATCGTTTGGCACACTCTACGCTTCTGTTCGACATTGTCTGAGTTTTGAGTTTTGGTTGAGCTGCTTGGTTTTCACCCAGAGAACCATTCGGCCAGGGGATGCTGTCTGCACCGGTCGTCTGTTTCTTGGAAGAATGAACCCACTGAAACTCAAAACCGAAACTGGCAGGCGGCTTAGTTTGTGTGAAATATTCCTCGCACAGTGAAAGTTTGGAATTTTATTGCTCGGAACCCTGCTGGAGCTTGCAAGTTAGGGGCTCAGAGAAGAAGTTTGTCGATGCAACTTACAGGGATTGAACAGCATTAACTAACTAGAGCTTACTCGCGCCATCGATGGCTTGGCACACTCATGACTCAGAAACACCTTACTGTAACGTGCTGCCAACAAGACCTGGCACCTGATGGTCACTTATGAAACAATTCAGGCAGAGTGCGTGGGCGTTCGCTCTACAATGCACTAATGTACATGTTACACGTCTTCCTGATGGATGGACGCGCCCGTGAGTGGGTTAATTACACCCATTAGGCTGATTATAGCGGAGAGCATTGGCGACGAAGCGTTGGAACGTCGCTACCAGGATAAAATATAGTGACTGCTCTGGTAATTAATTGGCTGGTGTGTAAAAGCTGGAGGTAGCCAAAAATGCACGGTCGAATAAAAAATGAAAACAGAAAACCAGCCCGCTCAGCTATTTGAAAGCCAGTTCGCAAAATAAGTAATCCAAAAATTGCTGGGTTCCATCATTCCATGTAACTAGATCAAAAGATTATTTAGAAAGTCATCAACTCCAATCCTGCAGTACCAAATGCTTAATAGGAGCTGAATTGAAATTTTTATCTGCGACCACGGCCTATGTTCAGTGATCCTGGTCGCATGACAGGTCAAATTGAGCAGGTGACTGGTGTGCGTGACGGGCTAGTTCGATCAATGTCCTCACGCTATCCGCTAGAGGTTAATTTTGCCAATCGGATTCACGGAGTTCCGTGAGCGGCGGTCAAGTCTAGGTCCCGCGCAATAAAATCCAATTTGCAATAGGCACACCTAACTACTCAACACTAAAAAGGAGATCGCTGCACCGAATTGTTGAAATGAACCAATCAGCATGCTTACAGAAAACAGGCATTCTTCGTTGAAGTCAGGCTGAGCTACTTAAAATATAGCTTTATGACCATTTTCCTATATCACGCTTTGATAAAATTTTGCACCTCATATTTCATACCCCCTGCACAGGTCCCACCCACCACCCCTTCACCTCGACCCCGGGCCTGTGCCGGACCCCCGGTCGCGTGGGTGGCACAGTTGCAGACAGCAGTGACCGCCCGTCCGGCCAGCGATTCGGTGCCTCCGCTGTTTCTCTTGGCTCCTGGCGCCGGAATGGCCGCACCCGACCCACAGCACGGTCCGATCGAGCCATTGTTAGCGGCCAACGCTAACCCTAACCCTGACCCACCGGCGGGTCCGGCGGGGGCGGGGGGGGGGGGCGCTCATGGAGTTAAGCTTCAGTTAGATTTCAGATTTAGTTGCATCCTGATGCTACATCTTCAGTATGAGCGTCTGTGAGAGTGCATACTAAAAACAATTTCTCAGCCAACAATTGTCCTCTCAAAACGTCCCCTTAGCGCCGCCCCTGTGCGGACCGAGGTGGCTGGTCGAATGCCCAGAGAGCAGGGACGTACCGGGGAATGTCCCTAGCCCGCCGAAGCCGTCTGTTCCGATGCTAGTGAGGCTAGTTTGGCGAAAAAGAGATACCGCGTCACCTCTGTCCATGGTACGGCCACCAAAAATCAATGCTGAGCGCAAACAACGCATACAAAAGCGGGTTTTACTGGATCTGAAGAAGACAAATCTGTTCAGTGCCTTTAATGAGTTTAATTTAATGTTGTGGCTAGGTTAGTAATCACTGAACATAACCTTTTTAATGTGACATTTCGAACATTTTCTACGCAGATATTAAATGTTTCCATCAACAAGCTATCCAGTTTCTTTAATGGCTTGTAACTAACAACAAGCAAACATAATGCTTACCAGCCATCAAATCAACATACACAGTGCATCCACCGATGTTCTGACCATGAGCAAATAGTCCCTATGGTGGGAGCCAAGAGATATAATCATCCACCACAACCATGGGTGATATCAGAAGGCGCCGCCTAGAAAGAACAAAGGCCCAGCTAAATAATTACCCTGGGATACGGAGGAGAAAGGTTGAATTATGAGTAATTAGCGGGAGTTAGCATCAGCCTTTGTTCACATCATAAGAGCCACCGCTATAAAAAGCTAGTGATGACTGAATGACAAACATGGAAAGGGCAGCAAAAGGTAAACTACTTTGTTTTCTTGTTATTCGTCATCATGCTTCAATGTGCAACATCAATATAATTTGAAAAGACTGTCTCGATTGCAAGGACAATTTTAACTTTATCAAGCATTGTATTTTTTATTTAAATCCAATAATCAGTCAGCAATAGTGTCAACCACCCTCCTCTCTTCTCCACCCTTCTAAGATGTCCACCAGCTCAGTCATAAAGCCACCTCCGGCAGCAGATAGATAGGTGAACTTTGCCACACTGTCAGTCAAAATATTTATCATCTTGTCATAACCACGGACGTATTTCGAGCTGCCCTGAGACGCCCCATGACAGGCTGTGTGGGTGGATCAGTGGCCTCAAAACGTGACGAATTGTTTGACGCTCACTGAAGGACAGGTTTGAAGCGTATTGACAAGCCACGTGCATCTTAAAGGGCTTTCAC